TTTTAAAATTCATTGACTCAAGTGCTTCTAAAATTTGGGAGAAGAAGAAGATGAAGAAGAAGAAGAAAAAAAAAAAAAAAACGATATATGAGGGGGCTACTGTACTATTAACTTTTGTGATATTAAATTGTTCCAGAGGTGAGTATAAATTAATCTATGTATTTACATATTTATTACAGTGAAGCATCAAAAATCCAGATGTCAAAAATCTAAATTTGACCATTGAAAAATGAATATTAATTTATAAGTATATTTAAAAATCTGGACAAATTGAAAATTTGGATGGGTACCAGCTAAATTTTCAATTCTGAAGTTTCCACACTTCACTTTATATTTATATGCAAATATATTATATTATGTATATTTACTTTCCTCTAACAGTTTCCAGTTTTAGTCAAATTTTATATAATTCTATTTGAAACATTAAAATATAGAAACTAATAACAAAGGTTTTGTTTCTTAATTAAAACAAATTTATTGCAATATGAAGAATTTTGTAATAATCAATAAAAGTTTTGAGAAAGTCATCAATATTGGCATCATTTAAAATAGTTCTGACTATATAAAGCTGTGAGTGTTAATTTTTTAATATAGGAATGAAATTATAATACATTCAGTTTTGATGTCAGTAAATTTATTTATTTAAATAAATACTTTATACTGTATTTATGAATTCAACATTTAATAATGATTTCATAACATTAAATAAATTATTTTTGTAATTCAAAAAATTAAACATTAATTAGAAATTTGCTTGATCATCACAAATAAACACAATTTTATCGTACTAGATTATTTTAAAATTTTAAGAAAGTTAAACAATATAAAACAGTTAATAAAATTAGTAGTAATAATTTATTTATGTACTTGCTTTTATTACAGGTTGACTAAAATATCGACAACACCAATTAACAAAGTCTGTGGAAACTAGAGGTCTTTTTGGTCTATTTTGCTCTTCAATATCTTCAATAACCTAAACATAAAAACTAAATGTATTACTTATCTTAAAATTTATTTTATGTATATGTACTACTGTACATAATTCTCATTCACTTTTTAGTTATGATAATGAATAATATTTTAAACTATTATATATATATATATACACAGTGGTACCTCAGGATACAAAATTAATCCATTCCGAAACTGAGATCATATTGTGAAAGTGTCGTAAGGTGAATCATTTTCCCCCATACGATTACATGTAAAACCAAATAATTTGTTCCAACACGAAAAACACACTCAAATTAAAGCTAAGTAGTACATTAAAAAAATAACTATAGCAGCGCTGTCCAACTTATCATAGCCCGCGGGCCATATTTTCTTCACCAAACATTTCGAGGGCCAAGAAGGTTGATAAACCACATGACATTTGCATAGTGCTACGGTTCAGTAAGCACTAATTGGTCAGCGAGTCCGATGTCGACGCTATAAAAAGGCGACAGTTCGACACACCGGATATACATCACTCTCGTCTAAGTTCGATTTGGGAATTTTTTTGTTCAATAATAAATGTGAATTCTTCTTCCTGGAAAAATAAAACATTCCCTGAAAATAAGACCTAGCGCATTTTTCAGAGCAAAAATTAATATAAGACACTGTCTTATTTTCGGGGAAACACGGTAGTAAAATAATTTTAATATTAATAATAATAATTTAGTAACATAAATTTATTCATAGTAAAATGTACTCGCGGGCCGTAAAAATTATTTGGCGGGCCGTCAGTTAGACAGCGCTGAACTATAGTATGGAAAACACTGAAAAATGCATTTTGTAGTTGTAAATGTATAAATAACCATAATAGAATAATAACTTTACCTTTGAGGATAGACGTCAGTGGAGGTGTAAACTGATGGCGGAGGAGAGGGAGAAGGGAAATGATACTAAAACTTAACTTATATAACATAATGTAACAGTAACTTAAAAATAACATAACACTAATTTTTTTATCTTTTCTGTTTTATATATGTATTTTTTAAATATTTTATTCACTGCTTTTTGCTTTCTTTCCTTCACTTCCACTGGATACAGGTTGCTTGGTAAAATATCTATCCAAAAAGGTTTGGCTTTGCCTACTTTTTAAAATGTTTCTAAATGACTTAGGCAAATGTCATTACTCTGACCAGCAATATGGCCAGTGTGAACCTTTTCGGGTAAAATAAAATCAATAAAATCAGTCACTTTCTGATAATACCTCAAGATTTCCTTTATCGAGCGAAATCCTTCCACGACGAAGCAAACATGCGGACTGAGACCGATGAACAGAAGCGAATAAAAAATGGCGCTGCAAACTAATGTAACGTCATATGGCGAGTTTTTGTTCGTATTGTGGAGCAAAAATATATTGGAATTTCATGTCGTATCCTGAAAATTTCGTATGCTGTGGTATTCATATCCTGAGGTACCACTGTATATAATAGTTTAAAATATTATTTATTGTCATAACTAAAAAATTATATAAGTCATGGCTACTGTCAAAAAACATTCAAACAGTGTATATGATAAAATTTAATTTGGATTTCTCCTGCATCAGCCTGATGCAGAAATAGGAATCATTGTTCAAGCCAATGATACTATTTCTTTTTCTTAGCACCAATTTATTATTATTAATTTTAGTTATTATTAGCTATTTTATTTCTTTTTTGTGTAATTCCATGTCCTGTAAATAAAGTGTTTTTATTTTAACTCTGTCCCGTTACTTTCCCATGATAATATTCATAAAAACAAATATTAAAAAATATTTCGTTTATGTTATCAGAATGGATACACTGTAGTTTTAGTTCATTTGAAGTTCATTCCATAAACCAAGTCAAAAGCATTAATGATACACAAACTATTATGATATAGCAAAAATCATTGTATCCATTTATTTTTTTTTTATATTAAAAATGAAGTTTAATTTTCTTGCTTTAAAACATATAAATAAATAAAATTAACAGTTGTGGTTTATTCCATAGGATAAGTAAGTAAATATATTACAAAAGTCTTCAATAAGTTCTAAACACAATCAAGAACGTATAAGAATGCTGTATCTTAAAGAATTGCCAGTGATCAGTTTTGCTAAAAAGCTTTATAATTGTAAAAAATGCTTTCAACAAAAATATTAACTTACAACACTTGGTCCCCGATCAAACATTTTACGAGTTCTTGTAAATTGTGCTGAATACTGATATTGCTGAAATACTTGACGAGAAACTGATGTAGGACATGGAGAATCCGTGTGTGGAGGTGAATCTCTAAAATTAAAAATAAACTTATTGAAAAAAATTATTAAATAAACACAACTGAATATGTAATTTAGTGATGAAACAATACCAAATTTTCTCCTGATTCCAATTCTTTTGAATACTTTCTAAAGTTTATTTTAGTTTAGAAATATTAATGATTTACATTACAAGTGTAGTACATTCATTAATTAATAAACATCAAACTTAAGAATGGAAAATAATTGGGAAACCCAGAATCAATCTTTCAAAAGAAACATAAAAATTCTCCATTTATATGTGGATATGCATGCTTTTATTGTATGCTACAAAATAAATTTGTAATCTTATTTCAAATAAAGTTAATATTACAACACTACCCCTGATGAAATCACAGCTAATTCTCTTTTACTCAATGAACTATCCCATCATGTCGTGTAGGGTTGCCATCTTTGGAAACTGCTTCATTGGCCAACGTGATGACCAGAGGAGGGGAAAGTCAATGAGATGATGTGCTTTTTTCATGCTTTTCACAATGAACATGTCTCTTAAATGATTTAACTCCATCTTGATGAGAAACTTCATCAGTTTCTTGTCAAGATAGAGTTAAATCAATCAAGAAACTAAATGAAGTTTGGCAAATAATGCAACAAGCTGAACAAATAACATTGTCATGAGTTAACTGATTTTTGAATTCATTCACTTGAGACATGAATATCTAGACCGACTTGTCTTAAAAAATCAATTTTTAAAATTCAAAACAGCATTAAACTTATCAAATATTTTTACTCAGAAACATAAAAATCACGTTTGAAAATTGAATATATTACAGCATCATCTGTGCATCAATAATGTGAGATTCAGCCGTGTTTATTAACCTACCGCCTGACCTAACTCGTGAACAATAGTAAGTTTATCTAGAAAGTATCAAATTTCACACCTGGGAGTTAATTACTCAGCCAGTTCTCAGTTGCGAAAAGACGCTTTCACATAACCTTCTGACCTATTATTGCTAAACTGTCAAATGAAAATAGCGACAATCGGAGGTTTTCGACACAGTCGCTGCCGTTCCTCTAAAAGAAGCATCCACCAGACCCGTTCAATACCTCCTATTTGGATTATTTCGTAACAACGAACTTAAGTGCCTATTTGGATTATTCCGTAACAACGAACTTAAGTGCCTATTTGGATTATTCCGTAACAACGAACTTAAGTGCCTATTTGGATATTTCCGTAACCCAGAACTTAGAAGTGACATCGTCAACAGCGGTTTGAAGACCTCGATCCATAAGATAACCTGTCAGGTATTTATCGCCACGCGAATCGTATGTAAACTCTCTCTCTCCGCGACCACACTTTATTCCATTTAAATTTTTAATAAACCCTTTGTTGATTGTTAAGGGTAGTTCGAGTCTCTTCCCTATGTTAACTCTGACCTGTCGAATCCGACTGTTTGCGTACAGGACCAGTCGCGCGACGGACGACGAAATCGCCGTCTCGGCTTCCGTGTTCCTCTAAACACGGTGGTGTCAATCCTGATTGGGCACTAAGGAGGTGCCGACCCGGAAGGTCACAGTGGTGTCAGAGCGGGATCAGATATTTTGACAAATCGATAGAGAAAGTGAGATAGGATGGAGAATAGAGGAGAAGGTAGTGCGCGGGGAGAAGCATCGGGAGGCGCACGGTCAGAGACAGCAGGAGACGCCGCGGTAGGCGGTCTTGGGGGCATGATTCCTTTAATACCCTCTTTTGCAGGGGACGTTGATGGCCTTCGGGTCACCGATTTTTTCGAATCTCTGGATGAAATAGCTAAATTAACAAATTGGTCTAAAGCACAATGCTTAGGTGTTGCAAAATTAAAATTAACGGGAATAGCCCGGGATTTCGCATGGAAGGATGCGAAGATGAAGGAGGTAATGACATATGAGGAATTTAAAAAACTCATGATTAAACGATTTGATAGAGAACCAATTTCGTTACGATTACAAAAATTTCACGCTTGTGTGCAAGCGCGAGATGAGGACGTGCAGACTTATGCTGTCCGACTGCAAACCTTAGTAGTAGAAACTATTGAGGAACAACCCGGGGATAAGGCACAAGAAGAAGAGGTGGTTAAAAGGTGCCAACAAAAAGAACGAGATAAATGCTTGTTAGTACAGTTTTTGAGTGGAATTAATGATCGAATAAAACGACAAGTGATGTCAAAAGAACCTGATACTTTCGATAAAGCGGTGTGAATAGCAATTAGTGAGGAAACCATAGATCAATTAACGTCAAAATCACGAGCGATTGTAAGAGGTATCAATAACCCTGACGATAAGAATGCGGAACAAGATGTACCCAATCATAATCGATTAGAAGAAACTTTAGCGAAAATTCAGGAACAATTAAAACGATTAGATACCCACGAATGGGATCGGGGAAATCCTCGACGTCCATCCCCACGATTTTGGTGTCCTCGGGAATATTCACAATATCAATTACCATATCAATCATCAGAAAGGCGAGGCGACCCCCGAGGACCCCGGGATACATCATTTTTTTATAGAACGAGGAACATATCTAATACATCTAGGGGACAAAGAAACGAGCAAGAGCGACCAAATTCTTCACTGCCTAGGAGACAGGCATATGGTCGAATTAATAAAGTAAATTGGTATAGGCTTAGAAGGGGCCCTATCCGAGGGAATGCGAATCTCATCTACATACCCCAATTGAGTCATTCCTTATTATCCAGAGAAACCAATCGCACCAGATCTTTGAAGAGGATGAACACACATCANCGGTGGCACTTGGCAATTGCGACACGGAACTTTCCAAATTGGTGATACAACAACATCACATAGCGCTTTGGAATCGGGTGGAAATACTCAAACGTTGTGATGAAGGGAGCTTGATATATATTTGGGAGGCCATCCTCACAAAACTGCTCTCCCCGTGCAACTCCCCTACCCTCGACTTAAAGGACCATGATACAGGATATTCAAGGTGATGTGTCCAGTATAGAAGCTACTACTCATTCTGCGTCAAATCCGTGTAAACTGTGTTATTTATGTCCTTTGAAAGCTTGACAAATGACAAAATACCGTTGCATGATATGCAAGAATGCAATTTGCAGCCCACATAATGTTAACATATGTAGCAACTGTGTGTAATCTTATTTCCTAAATATTTTGTTCTTATTTAGTTCCTATTTACCGATACTATTTTGCCATGTAACAAGTTCCTATTTTTATTAAACAATTTTGTTGATATTTACGTGTTTTAATGCATAGTCTGCTCGACGAATGTGTAGTTATAATGTAACTGAGAATTAAGTTTAGTTATCTAGGGTTAAAATAATCAAGTTAAACCTCCATATATATTTTTTAAAGTCAAAAGAAAGATCATATTTATTTAATTGTATAAAAAAAAATGAACTCTTTTAAAAAAAGCTGCAAGATCAGAAAAATCAAATGCCTTGTTAAGTATGTAAGCAGTGTTTTGACGTGTTACTGTATGGCACAAAAGTTTGCAGATCCAACAGAATTGTGGTATATATTTTAGACAGTTTAATATAAACAGATACTTTTGATAAAATATCTGTTTATATTAAACTGCCTGTAAGAAATAAATCAGAAGACTGGAAATTACTAATAAACCACAGTGAATTAATAAAAAGTGCAGTTTTTCACAAACAACCTCTCAGTCTGCTGGCGCAAACACTATTAAAATTTGCTTGCAAAACAAGATGGCTGACACGTTGACAGATAAAACTCACTGAGCAGTGCTCTTGACTGCACCAGAAAGTCAATTGGTGCCTGTCTAGCTGTTAAATAGTATTAAGATTTGCAATCGCATTTAGTTTTATTAATATTTAGTAGATATAAGTCTTCCTACCAACAGCTACTTGGCACTAATTTCTACACTTAGCTATTCGTGGTGGCACTCAATTATTGGTGTTTGCTACACTCAGGTTTTCTTTTAGACCCTTTGGGGGACTACGACTTTGCAGCCTAAAAATCTGCATGCCATCATCAAACATAGAGGATACTGTAGCCATATGTATGCCATTCAGAGGGATCCTACTTTTCTCTACTGTCTGTTTCCTTTCCTTCCTTTATTCCCTTCCCTTTCCCTTACCCTCTTTCTGCTGGCTAAACATTTCATGTACAACCAATGTCTTTCTTTAATATATGTATGTCTACAACCACTACAGAAGTGTAAAGACCCCAGTTGAAACTGCCTCTGGTATTTACAAAATTTCATTCACCCTAAGTGATAATTTACAACCACAGACTACACATCTCACAACCTTTCCACATAACTCAAGGAACATTAAAATATATATAATTACTTAGTACAAGTACTTAGCAATCATATTTATACCTGAGAATATTTTCCACTTTGATACGACAAAACTTCTAATAACTCCTTGGTCTTTCGTGATCAAGTTGTTGGGAAAACTATCAAAAAGCTAACAATATCCAAGCATGCCAAGAGCAATTTATGTTTAAACCACAAGGATGTACAGTACAATGCCTTTCTACAGCTTGGTAGTACATTTTAAACTGAAGACAGTAAAAAAAGAGTTTCTCAGTTACTATATACACTTAAAGCAGCAATACATCATACTATTTACTTCAGCACAAAACTTTAATAAAAACATGAAAGTATGTATGATTTATTTTTGCTTTAGTATTAATGGTTTCAGCTTCTGAGTTAAATAAGACTATCTATATAGTAGTTTGTTTTCAAGTATTTATTTTCACTTATGTATTTTTAATTTACTTTTACTTATGATGATCTTTCACATTTAATTCAAATGTAACTTGTGTTCTATATCTTAATTCAAATTGCATGCATTTCTATATTCCATTCTGTTTCTGTTGGATTCTGCAGATTGCTGTCTTGACAGCCAAAGTTGTTTGATGATAAATATATTTCTGCCAGTAGAGGTTGAAACTGTTTAAGTATTTTAATTGAATTTAATAAAAGACAAAACTCATAAAATATAATAAATATCTTTTATAACCTATTGCAATTGTCATCAGATAAAATTCAAATACAGTGGTATCTCGTATTTTGAATTTAATTCATTCCAGGTGGCCATTCAAACTCTGAATCATTTGAAGTCCAAATCAATTTTTCCCATCAGAAATAATGGACAGCAAATTAATCCATTCCCAGACTCTAAACAATACCCATTTTGATGAACTTAAAACAGCAAATACAAATAATTTAAGGTAAAAATAACACAATTAAATGCCCTAATAATAAATTAACACATGAAACAATAAATAAAATACTTAAATGCTGGGTAATAAAATGAATATTATATTAACTGGTTGCACAGCTTTGACTTTGGCATCTTAAACATGGCCACCAGATTTGCCACACTTGTCCTACATTCACATTTTGCAATAAGTTTCTTTTTTTGTCTCAATTGTTAATATTATGACCTTCCTTTTAGACTTCATTGCTTCACACACTTCTTGGATGTTGTAAAGGTTATATTGGATTAAGCATAAAGTTTATGCATAATTTTGACAGTAACTGTCAAAAATATGCAAAAACAGCTTAACAGAGATATGTTATTTAATTATAACAGTTGTGAAATTTTTCACATTGTTGCTAATGTGAGATTATATTCTTTGTTCAGAAGCATATTTCATGTCATGGTTGAGTAAATCAACACAGACAACATACTTATACCAGCATACTTGAAATTAACATATTTTTACTAACATTTTCATCCGTTTATAACAGACATGTTTAGTTATAAAATGCAGAACAAAACAGACACATTAAAATTGAACAAACTTTTACAAACAACTTACAAGTTTAATTTAAAATTATTTCTCAAACAAATTACATATTTTGTTTTGCATTATATACCTGAGGATATCTGTTATAAACAGTTGAAAATGTTAGTTAAAATATGTTCATTTCAAGTATGCTTGTGTAGGTATGTTGTGTGTGTTTAATATATTCCAGTATTGGAAAGTTATTGAGTAAAATCAATTTAAAATGTCTTCAGATGAAAAGCATATCAGACTTATCATGCTTTATGAGTTTCAGAAAGGATAAAGCATCATATAAACAATAAAAAAGAAAGTTAGATTGTGTATGGGGAAGATGTTCTTAAACTTTGAATGTATTAAATGTGGTTTAAAAAGTTCCATTCAGGAAATTTTGAACTAAAGGATACAAAACATATCGAGTGCCCAAAAGCTGTCAACAAAGAAAAACTCCAGAAAGAAATCGTTAAAAATTGATGAATACCACACAGTATATATAATCAAATACACCAAAAATGAAATACTGAAAATGTACAAGTATAATACAAGAGCAAGAGATGACTTCAACACACAGCAGATGGTGTTTATGCTTTGAGCAGATTTTTTCACTATGCATGCAGTTTGAATAATTCTAACTCTGAAGCATTCGAAGTATAAGGTATCACTATAAATAAATCAAAACTTATCACATAAGTCGAAAAACAAAGCATTGCAATATAGGTGCTGTCCATAAATGACATTGACATTAGAAGGGGGGTTACGAAAATTTGGACAAGGAGGACTTGAGCTTCAGTGGATGTCCATTTATTTTATTAAATTTTATACAGTTTATGCATATTATTATATTTATTTTAAAATTTCTTGATATTTCATTTTTACTAGCATTATCTATCATTTATAAAGTGATGAAGGTTTTAAGGGGGTTTGAGTTTTGATGGATATATGAAAAGGGGAGGAGGTTATGGAAAGTTGGACAAACTGTGGCAAGAGGGGGTGAGTAAAAATTTCAAGAGAAATGTGGACGTAATTTATAGACAATCTCATACTTAAAAAAAGAGAGAGCTATGTTAAATATTAGATTGAAACAAGTGATTATATAATATGTATACTTTATCCTGCCAAGTGTCTTAATTTATAGCTCTTCATTGTGTTAGGAGCAGAAACAAATTGCAAAACACGGTTTCATATCATAAAAAAAAAAAATGTATACTTTATATTTATCTTAATTAAGTTATTTAAGTGTGTAGTAAAATGGAAATTAGTGTTTTGGAGAATATCTAAAGTGGGATGTTATGTTAATATTAGTGTAATCATCCTATTCAATACAATGATAAAGTTAGTTTGTTAAAAGCACTTGTATATTTTGTAATTTGTGTTTTATCCATTCAGTTAAATTAACTAATGTCAAAATACAGAGTTTATTTCATATTTTGGAGTTTGGTCGTTCTAATACTACAGATTTTTCTGATTTAGGATTAGAAATAAAACTAATCAGTCAACTATCAAGCATGTTTATGCTTTTTTTTCTGGTCAAATCTTATTTTTGTATGCATCCTCTTTCCTAATGCATTTGTGAATGATTTGTTTTCTCTCCTAAAATTAACTATTTATTTTTATGTACATTTATCCTGTATCATTTTTTATTTAAAAAGTTTTTTCTTAACTATTTTATTAAATGTTTGCATATTCAAATTTTTTTGTAGACTTTTTTATGTACCTATTTATAAAGAGAACTGTGTTAAAACTGAACTCGATGGTTCTTCTAAATTTTTAAATAGTGTTATACGGTTGACTGATAAAATATTTATTTTTATCCTTGGGTTTTTTATAGGTCGCCAGCGTGTAATAGCCCGAGGAGGACAATTAGAAATTGCTGGAGTTGTTGTTGGAAGCTGGGGTGCTAACTATGGGCAAATGCCTCGCAATCGCAACC